TTTTTTAAGGTCTACTTATGTTTTCAAGTACCTGCTTGCATCACTGGTGACCATGACCCGAACAGCAAGGAGATTGTGCTCTGTCATTTCCTCCTCAGGGATGACCCTTACGGTGGCCCACTCAGGGTCAGGAGATGAGAACCAGCTTTCCACATTGAGGTGCTCCAGGACGCTCTTTGCCTTCTTTGGGGAGGTAGGCTCGTCGGCCATGGGCTGGCAGAAGCCTAGGAAAGGCAAAAAGGTAACAGCAGGGTGTTAGGAGTCAGCTGGAGTCAGGGACCTCAACCTCTGCTTTGGCCACTGGCAGTGGTTGCTGCGAGTGCTGGCAGCCCTGTGCACTGAGACCAGTCTGCCAGGCTCTGTGCTACAGTCCTGACATGGTTCTCCAGTTGGTACACAAAGAGATGGAATCTGTAGGGCAACCTTGGCTGTTACAACTGCAGGCTCTTGGCTCCATTTGGTGGCACTGCCAGCTGGCTGGATGCCTGGGTAGCAGTACCAAAGACACATGCCATCTGCATGAGCAGGAGCATGCAATCTTTTTTCAGGCCACTGGTGTGTGTAAGGCAGAAAGTTGTTTTTGAGTGCATGCAGAAAAATTAAGCACTGATTTGGGAAAAGACAAAATGTGGCAGCAGTTAAGCAGCACGACCCCTGAACTTTGTGCTCAGGCAGAAGGAACAAAGAACAAAGACAAGTTTCCCTAGCTTATCCCTGGTAGAGCAGATGGAGCCAAAGGCAGGGGGTGATCTTCCTCTGTGAAATCCTTAATTTCTGAGCAACCTCACCCATCCACAGCCTCCTGCACAAGCAAATACAAACATACCAGCCCTGCAAATTTTCCTGTGGCCCAGGAGGCACAAATAACATTCTCAAGGAGGGTGGTTTTGCTGCGTTCATCTTGCACGCGTGATGCTTTTGCCACAATTAATTTAACACTTATCTCAAACTTACATCTGCATAAATGGAAGCAAACAAAAAAACAAAACAAAACAGATCTGTGGTGCAGTTTGTCCTCTCATCTATGAAAGAAAAGTTTGCAGTAAACATCTATAAAACTTCTCTTAAACTTGCAGCTCCTTCATACACTACAGGATCTCACTTAGCCTAGTCCTCCACCTTGCAAGGGCTTTCAACTCAAATATGCAGTACTTGCACAGCAAACAAGCCAGGAAAAGCATGCCATGAGCAAGCCCTCACAGCAGATGCCCTGGGAGATGACCTGCACCACAGCCCCACTGCTTGCCCACAGGCAGCTTGGAGTGGCATATGATCTGTCATCATGTGGTTCTCCCCAGCTCGTGTTGCAGGTATGCATCCTACACATCACCCCCACTGTGGTTCCTGAACGTGAACACTTTAGGTTAACCAGTCCCTCTGTAATAGCCCTCAACTCCCCCAGATTTTATGTCATAAATGACAACAGACAGAGCTGGTGGAGGACCTCAGCCTATCATTGAGGCCACGCTGTGTCTCAGCTGCAGCCACATCCACTTAAAGAGCTGCATTTCTTTGATGCTTTTTAAGGTATCGTGGTACCCTCCTTTTTGAATTGTGCGGTAGAAGCCAACTTTCTCAGGAATCTGCTAGATAAGCAGATCTGAAAGATATCAACTGGCATTCATAGCTGAACTAACTGTAGCCAACTAACTAATGCTGAACTAAGTTCAGCATTCTGCCTTAAGAAGCAAAACCACTCCTTACTGATTTACTTAGTATTTGCACAGTGACATATAAAGCTGAATAAAGTCCATTGCACTCAATTCCACAAAAGTGGAAAGAAGCTGAGCTACCTCCATGCTTCTGCACATGGGAGACATTTGTATTAACCCAAATGCTGGGTTACCAACTCCACAGACATTTAAAGAGATGCTGTTCTGCAGAGCAGGACCGCCTCCTAGGTAACCAGCTTGTACCAAAGACAGAGGTGCCCAAGATGCTAAGATCCAAGGTTTTTGTAGGCTTTGATGACATCACTCAGTATTACCAGCCTCTCCTAAAAGGCAGCACTGGCAGCGGGCCTCAAGCCCTGCAGTGATGAAATGCAGCCCAGTGGAGCAGTTTGGGCTCTCGCACAGGGTAGGTTTCAGTCCTGGAGAACAAAGGGAAACAGAGCAGAGCAACAAGCCACTGGTGGGTTTGTGTAAACACCGCTCAGGGAGAACAATGGCCAACTCAAACAAAAGCCTGGACACTGCACAGACCTGAACCCACCTGTTAATTATTACCTGCACTGCCACAGCAATGCAAACAAATCAAATAGGCCATCTGCAGGGAAACTGCCATTGGCCTTTGTTGCCTTTAGTTTTAAAGGAGTGCCACAGAGAAGATAAAAATGATCTGAGACAAATGAGAAATTTAAAAATACAGCTGAGTTTTCTTTAAAGTGCCTTGCTTTGCAGCTCACTGTGCACTGACTGCATAATGGGCCATGCTGTGACAGTGGCAACCACAGTAATGCTAAAAAAGGAGTACACAACTTTTTGGAAGCCTGACTGTGATCAGGCTCTGAGCTTCAGTGCCCTGACTGCCATCACTGAGAGTCAGAGCATCTCCAATCACTACTGCCATCAACTCAGGACATACACCCCACAGGCTGACAGACCAGCCCTCCTGGAGGTGCAGAAAGAGCCCTGTGGGAGCCTTGAGTTGTTGGGCACTTCTTGGCACCCCTTTTGCTCTGGAAAAACCCAAACTTTTGCAGAAGAATTGAGGTGGACATTTAGCTCCTAAGTTCAAGGTGGCAACACCCACGTAAGTCCCTGGGTATCTGAGTTTTCTAGTGCTCAGGTCCTCTCAGAGGTCCATGCATGGCTGTATGTGGCACACCACACTATCCCACTTCTTCACTAGAAGAGAGGAAAACTGGCCTTACTGCTGTTCTCAGATGCAAAGTGGCACACAGGTGCACTAAGCCCAATACCTGGGGCAGCCAGCAGGATCCCACGGCTTGTAGGCACTCCCACTAGAGTCATGCTTCCTCCCCAGGACAAGAGATTTTCTACTGGCAGGGTAGCTAAGACACTGGCAGAGGAAATGGACCTTACAAGACAAACATACACAATGCAAAGCTAAACGGGTATCCAGTCTCAATGGAAAAGCACACAGAGGCACACAGCCTCTGCTTTCCTGCCAATGTAAACTAGTGCTGTGCCACTGACACCCATAGGCAACTCCACATATTATCCAAAGAGAGACAAGTCGTCAGGAAATAGACTCAAAATAGCATTCACATCAGATCTTACTTCCATCACACTTACTGAAGATTTCCTACCATCCTTCCTACTGTCTTATGTTTCATCATGCTAAAGCTCTCCTGCAGTGAGCATGCGTTCCCCGCAGTCACACTTTGAGCTGAAGCCCTTAGTAATCCTTTGCCAAAACGTTTAAATAATTTACCCGAGGGGGGATTATGGACAAGCCATGCATGTGGAAGGTGTTAATCTTGTGGCAGTAGACAATAAATCAAACGTGTCACATGCTTGAGGCTGCAGGGACAGACAAGACACACCACAAATACTGCATTGCTGCCCAGTTCATAGTGCAACTGTCCTACTGGCACAAGTTAGAGAATTGCAGGCAGTCAGATTTCCTAAACTATTCAGTACAAGCAAGCTAAGGAGCTAACGTGTTAATTTCCAGAGCCTCCCATGTTCTTTGGCACGATTCTGTGGAGGAGTGCAGGTTAGGGTGCAAGCAGGGCAGTGCTCCCAGCTCTGCTCAGCAAGCAGCCGCGGATGCTCTGCAGCCAGCATGGCTGGGCACTCGGGCTGTTTGAGGAATTCACACAATGATAACTTGCTGCCTGAAGGGCTGATAGGATTGAGAGAATTTAAGCTTTCCATTCATTCCCTAAGATGCTGCTAATCTTCTCACTTTTCTGTTGTCCAGACTGGCTGCAGGAGATGCTCTCCAGCAGTTGCTCTGTCCCAGCACTGTGGTATTAACAAGAGCTTTGGTATTGCTGGATACCCGAGGCTAGGGTCATCTTGGTGACTCCACATCCAGTGGCACAGGAGGGGTCTGGCCCAAAGCAAACATCTGGAAGGGCTTTAGTGACCGTAGCAATGAGAGCAGCTCTGTGGTACCCTCAAAACAAGCCTCCTCACACTTCCTTTTTTAAGCAGTATGAAGACACTGTACAAGAGCACAGCCAGGGTTGGCTGAAGCACTCAGGCTAGTGGCTGCAATTTGCCATCAGCCCACAGCAAACACGGCATATGGTGCTGTTCTCATCTTCCTACCGACCAGAGGGAACAGACCTCTGTGGACAGCCATCTGCTGGCAAACACTGCCTACTCAGGCAAAGGCTGGAGTTGGTTTGCTTGCTTCCAGTGTCAGGCTGGACGCAGCAGGACAGAAATATTTGTTTTTCCACTTCAGGAAAAACCAGATGCTAGGATTTAGATTCAGGTCTTCAGTTACAAGATTTCCCACAGAAAACACAAAAAACTACTTCAGGGGAATTTTCCAAAAAGATAAGAAGCCCAGATCCTACCCAGCTGAGGAAGTCATGTATTTTAACCTCTATATTTTGTTGCCCACGTTCATAATAGCAGTTCTCTTTTCCATGCTCCTCCATGGCCACCAGCACAAAGGGCAACTGGAAGCTTTGGAAAGTAGTTCCTAACACTGAGTTACAGCTACAAAAAACAGTGCACTGATCTAAAGTTCTTTCAAATTTGCAATGCATTTTACAGTGCAGGATAGCACTCAAGATACAGGTATATTCACTTCAGCAATAATATAACCCATGCACAGAGGTGGCCAATTTCAGTGGCACTGTGTTTTGGGGAGCAACAGCATCTCCACACAGTCTTGGCTATTGGTCTCTGCAGCACAAGAACCTCTCCTCAGCCCAAGCCTTCCTGAGTGGAGTCCTTGACTGACTTGTGCTGAGAGTAAACACTGTGGCTTTAATTTTTTTTTTTTTATAATACAAATGGTGGAGATTAGCTCCAGTTATATAAATAATAGTAACACAGTCAGCAACTGCAACAGAACAATTCTGCATTCATATGACCCTCCCACTCCAACAGGATGAAAAATTTGGATAAACAGTTTCTCCTTTGTCTGCATTTCAAAACCTATCTCGCTATCCCCTCACTAGGAGTGAAACAACTGTTTTCCTTACAGCGGAAGGATTTAGCTAAAGCTCGTGGTACATGAGCAGCATCCCTGCTGCTTGCCTGAAGCTCACAGCGGGATCAGTGCTCATCCCAAA